ATTTCGCGGAAGTTTGTAACGTTGTCTCTGGCTGGGGTATACTTGCCGGTGCCAGTGGTTCATTACAAAAATTTATATTTTTGTAGACCGAGAGAAATAAGAACAACACGTATTTTTCACAACGTTATAAAGTTTATTTCTCACTTAAACCTCAACCTTGCTTCATGGAGTTCTCACAAGCAGATACACTCTTGCGGTCCAACCACGAGAGTAACACTAGCGGAGAAACTCCCCCACGTCAGATAAGTGTGTTGTTGGGAATTCCAAACTCCGCAACAACCACACTTCATCTAATAAAGAGTATTCTTAAGCAAAGGTTCGTAGCGGTCCAACCACCAGAATCATTGCTTCACAATAGCTCATTTAATAAGATAAATTATTTGCCAGCGGTCCAACCACCGTACAAGTAACTTGTCTTACCTAACTCGAAGCTCGGCAAAGACTGACTCACACTACTTAACTATGACTCCTTTTATATTAAATTTTCGCAGTCAAGTACATGGTTGCTTATAATGGTATCTTAGTATACATTGTTGTATTTTAAAGGTATACGATCTTAACTAAGTAGGATTCTTACACCTAGATGGCATTGCTTAACCATATAAACGTTAAATTTAAAAAATTCTATAAAGTAATTTAAATTTCTTTTACACCCAGGTGGCGTTGCATAAATAAGTAAATAGTCGTTAAATTATAAAACAAAGAAAAGTATTTTTAATTCGATTATTTCTATTCTATTCTATTCTTCTATTTCCAAAATTTCTGTGGACGATGGCTTAGGCGTTGATGATATCGATGTTGCTGATGACGGCGATGACGATGAAGATGATGACGACGTTGATGACGATGAAGGTGATGACGACGATGATGATGTTGATGACGATGATTGATGCTGTCTTATAGATTGACTAGGGGCGCATGACGGAGCGAAATATAATAGGCTAGTCTGCGATTTTATTGAAGTATGAGACCCCACTGAAGATAATATTGACAGATTAAGTGGTGACAATATTGGAGTTGAAAACAATGATATCACGGGCGTAAGGCTTGGTGATTTCTCAGCCGAGCTTTGTGACAAACGTCTCATAGGTGCTGGAGTGGTGGTGACCAGTCTGGGGTTCGGTGAAACTTCTAGCCATGACAATTGGGATGAACTGGGCGAATCAAGATATTGATTTTCTTTATTTGCATTTGCATCAGCACCGATTTCTGGATATTGTTTGGCTTGGTCGACCCAGAATCGATAGATAATGGATCTTTGATAACCCATATGACCGCAAAAATTATGGCATCTTTCGTCTTTGACGTCAATGGTGAACCAGCCACTTCTTTTTCTTTGAGGTGATGATGTTGACGATTTTGGTGATGATGTTGATGTTGGTGATGGTTGCCGGAGACATAATGTATCGTCGAAGTGTCCAAATGAAGAACGAAAGATTTCTTCCATTTCATCAGGAGATGGCATTTCTACATCGTCTTCCGGTCGTGGCAATAATTCTTCTTCACTGCAATCATTACTATTGCATCTGTCGCACGGCGGAGAATATGCGTCGTTATTTGATTTTCCAGGTGTCATTGGAACTTCTGGTTCACCATAAAGCGGGCTGAACCATGGTTCTTGTTCCTCGTTACCCAGATTATCAATATGGTAATTTGGTGGCGCATACATAGGCGAGTTTACCACGTCGTTACCGGGAGTAGGTGGTATATTTTCTTCGACAGTTGGGTTTAAGCATTCATGATCTTCATTTTCTCCTTCGTCGGACGACAGGCATATAACTTCATCCTTGTTGTCCTTTCTCACAGGATCTTTACCCTTGTTGGGTGAGATATATTTGTTCTTTAGTGGCGTTTGGTTCTCCTTGCAAACATCTTCCGTCTTTTCCTGCAATTTCTCTTTTGTACGGACTGTTGCTTGGGGTTTTGCAGAGCTCATACGAAAATATGTTGCCGTTTTTCTGGGTTGGTTGCATGTCTTTCTCTTTTTGCTGGTTGTTGGCATCTCGTCATCAATAAATATGGTTCGACGAACCTTCGCTTTCTCTTCTTCCATACGTTTTCGGAACTTCTTGCTGGTGTCATCGAATTTCTTCTTACCGTCCATTTTTCTTTTTATTTCTGTCGGTCGTCTAAGGAATAGTTAAAAAGAATATAGAATTAGTAATAAGAAATACTAATTTATATAAGGTTTAATTTCATTTAAATGTGCTGTTCTAACTTCCTGATTTTCTATTCTCTGAATTTTTACTATTACAGGTGATAGAAAATGTTTCACGGAATACGGGCCTTCAAATTTGGGAGCCAGTTTTGCCGCAAAATTATCTGTAGCCTTCGATAGGGGGTGTTGTCGGAGCCAAACTAGTTCACCAACTTTCGGTTTCCATTGACGCCTTCTTAGATTATAATATCTTTTCTGGTTTTCGAATGATTTGCTCAAATTTCTCTTAACAATTTCGAATACATCTTTCATTTCATCTTTTCGTCTCGATGAACTCAAACTTTCTACTCCTGTACCAATGGTTACCTCATCGTACAATGTTTTTGGTAAACGTGGGTCTCTTCCTTGAGTTATAAATGCTGGTGAAAATCCTGTTGATTCAGATACACTGGTATTTACAGCCAGCATAATCTCGGGGAGTAACTCATCCCATCTATTGTGTTGATCACTTGAGAATTGCGCGATTATTGTCTTGATTGTTCGGTTAGCTCTTTCAGTAGGATTTTCCTGTGGAGTGTATGGTGCAGTAAGCTGCTGATTTATGCCTAATTCATTTAGAAAACGTTTAAAATTCCTTGAGGTAAATTGTGTTCCATTATCTGTTATTAAGACTTTAGGAATACCATATCGAGAAAGTATTCGTTCACGAAACGACTTTATTACTCCATCTGTAGTAGCTTTACGCATCGGCACCAACTCAGTCCACTTGGAAAATTTATCAAAGAAAACCAATAACATAGTATTTCCATGTTTTGACCTGGGCAAGGGACCTACAAAGTCAGCGCAAAGGGTAGCCCATGGTTCATCAGGCAATCTTGTTAACATTTCTCCAACTGGTTTCTGTTGACTTATCTTGTAACGTTGACAGGACATACATCGTCGAATATAACGATTTACATCTCTCGACATTCCCGGCCAATAGTAACGGTTAGCGATTCTATTTATTGTTTTACGTATTCCTAGGTGTCCAGCAGTGGCACTGTCATGATTTTCTTGAAGAACTCTATTCCTTAGATCTACAGCGACACATAATTTCCACGAAGTACCATCTCCATCTCTTAACTCTTGTGGGAAATGGCGGTATAGTTGATTTTCAACAATTGCGTAATCAGAGTATTTTATAGGGTTCTCTTTCACCTTCTTCTTCATTTTCTGAATCCACGCGCATTCGTTTGTTTTTAATGGTTCACAGTTAACTAAGTTTGCAACTTCTACTGGATTGCGTGATAGTGCGTCAGCGACGATGTTGTGTTTACCTTTTCTATATTTTACTGTAAAATTGTATTGTTGTAGTTCAAGTGCCCATCGGGCCAATCTGCCGGCAGGACTCTCTATAGAATTTAGCCACTTTAAAGCTAGATGATCGGTGATGACTACGAATTTATAACCTTCTACATAAGCTCGCATTTTCCGAATGCCCCATAAAATGGCCAAGCATTCCTTTTCAGTCGCTGAATAGTTCTTCTCCGCTCCGTTGAGATGACGACTAGCATAAGCTATTACTCTTTCACTACCTTCAATTTCTTGAGTTAAAACAGCTCCTAATCCATAGTTACTAGCATCCGTTTGTAATGTAAATGTTTTTGCAAAATCCGGACATGCTAATACCGGTGCTTTCGTAAGTTTGGTTTTTAATAATTCAAATGATTGTTGCTGATCAGCTTCCCATCTCCAGTGTTTACCTTTCTTTAATAGTTGTGTTAACGGTTGTGATATGGTTGCGAAATCTGGTACGAATCTACGATACCACGAGGCAATTCCTAAAAATCTTCTAACATCTTTAACATTCTTCGGGACTTGAATTTTTGCGATTGCGGATACCTTATCCGGATCAGTTTTTATACCTTCCTCACTCACAACATGTCCCAAATATTTTGTTTCACTTTTGAAGAATTTACATTTCTCTACATTAATTTTTAAATTTGCATTTCTCAGTCTATGAAAGACTTCTTTTAGGTTATTCATATGTTCTTCTAGAGTTTTTCCTACTACAATGATATCATCAAGGTATGCGAAAGCATGGGGTTCCATTTCGGGTCCGATTATACTATCTAATGCACGTTGGAAAGTTGCTGGCGCAGAATGAAGTCCAAATGGCATTACTCGCCACTGGTATAAACCACGGCCAGGAACAGCAAAAGCAGTGAACTTTTTACTATCCTCATCCATTGGTATCTGCCAATATCCATTTTTTAAATCTAGACTACTGATATATTTTGCTTCTCGAAGTCGGTTTAAAATACTGTCTATACGTGGAAGAGGGTATGCATCAGGTACTGACCTAGCATTTAATTGTCGAAAATCCATACATGTTCTCCAGGTTCCGTTTTTCTTCTTTACAAGGGTGATTGGAAAGCAATATGGGCTATGTGACGGTTCTATACATCCTTGTGAAATTAATTTGTTGATTTCAGCATCAATTATATTTTGCATAGCAGGGTTTCTGGGGGTGTAACGAATTTTAACAGGGCGATCATCCGTGACGATTATTTTATGAGTTGTAATTGTTGATAGACCATGCATATTTTGAAATTTGGACAGCTCATTTTCTAGAAATTTGTTGATGATATCTTGGGTTTCTTCCTTTAATATTATATTACTATCATGTTTACGTTCTTCATTGTCTTCTCGAGGTATCTCCTCATTGCTGATTTCATCCACACTCATACACTTTGCTTCTGTCTTAGTACAGTCTAGTGTTAAACCAGCCATGTGAATAGTTGTATTGAAAATACGCATAAAATCTAATCCCACAATAATGTTTTCGCTAGTTTCTGACATCACTAGAAAATTACAAGTTTTTGAAATATTTCCTAGTACCACATTAAATTCTACGGCTCGTGATAAGGATCTGGCAGAGCCATCTGCCAATATTACATCGATGTCTTCATTTAAATACGTTGGATTTTTGCTAAGCGTTTTCACAAAATCTTCTTGGATAAAATTTCTACTCGCTCCGGTATCAATAGTTGCTTTGACGATTTTTCCACATAATAGTATTGAGGCGGTTAAACGCGAATCTTCACTTTGTAAACTAGTATTATTATTTGAGGGTTGCGTTTTCGGAGGCTCGTCGTCCCTCAGTTCCGACGACCTCCAGAAGCATTTCCCGAGCGGTTATTATAATTACTAGAGCAACTTGCTGCATAATGTCCAGGGTTACCGCAACGATAGCAATTATTTTCTGGGCCTATTGTGGTACTGGCTAAAGCACGTGGGTTTTCTACGCGAGTTTGTGAATGTGTTGATGGAATGCTTTCTAAATCTTCAGCTAATGTTATTAATTCAGCTAAGGATGAGAAATCTTTTCGTTTAATATACCACTGATAGTCTGGAAGAGCATTTTGAAATATTCGCTGCAACTTTTGTTCTTCTGATAAGTTAGAATGGCGCATTAAATTTTGAATTGATAAAACATAATTTTTAAAAACTTCTCTTGGACGTTGAATTCTTTTACGGATTTCATCTTCTAATTTCTCAAAATATCTCGAAGGTAGAAAAAATGATAAAAAATCGGATTTAAATGATCTCCATACTTGCCAGTGTCCATTGTTATTTCTAAACCAGATAAGTGCTCTATCACGTAAAAATTCAGGCATAATTCGTGGAAATTGATTTAAAGGTACGTTATAAATTTCGGCTAATTCTTCTATTCGTTCGATGAATGCTAAAGGCTCCCGTCCTCCATCATACGAAAGTCCCCATTTTCTTACATATTCAATTAAATTTGTTTTGATGTTATCTGTGTCACAAGCTGGAACCGACACTGCTACTGATGGTTGACTAACCGGATGATTTAATTCTATTTTAACAGGTGAAGGGGTGGTACCGTTTCTCGAACCAGGTAACGCTAATGAATTTTGCTCATGTGTTAATTGTATCTCTAATAATCGTTTAGTTTTATCTTCGTCGTGTTCGGCGCTAATAAATTTCGCTAATCTCTTTCTGAGTTCTTCGACCGTTCCGACGGTATCTAATTTAAATTCATTTAAATAAGACGATAGTTCGTCACGTTTTAAAGTATATGCCCAACTTGATTTCAACATATTATATTATTTTTTTTTTTCACCGTAATTCTTTTATTTTTCTTATAAAACATAAAACAAGGATAAAACACGATTCCACGCACAATTAAAGTTTTTAATTCAGTTAGTTCTATTTGTTTTTAATTCTTGTTTCCTTTCGCGATCATTATTTTATAATAATATTTTTCTTTTAACACAGTTCTCTTATTATGTTCTTTTTGTTCAATCATTCACAGTTTTGATACAGTCTACTTTTGTTTTTTTGTAAACTCCCTTTTTTTTTTTTTAACACCACTTTCTTAATCTCTCGGTCCCTGCTCGGGCGCCATTGTAACGTTGTCTCTGGCTGGGGTATACTTGCCGGTGCCAGTGGTTCATTACAAAAATTTATATTTTTGTAGACCGAGAGAAATAAGAACAACACGTATTTTTCACAACGTTATAAAGTTTATTTCTCACTTAAACCTCAACCTTGCTTCATGGAGTTCTCACAAGCAGATACACTCTTGCGGTCCAACCACGAGAGTAACACTAGCGGAGAAACTCCCCCACGTCAGATAAGTGTGTTGTTGGGAATTCCAAACTCCGCAACAACCACACTTCATCTAATAAAGAGTATTCTTAAGCAAAGGTTCATAGCGGTCCAACCACCAGAATCATTGCTTCACAATAGCTCATTTAATAAGATAAATTATTTGCCAGCGGTCCAACCACCGTACAAGTAACTTGTCTTACCTAACTCGAAGCTCGGCAAAGACTGACTCACACTACTTAACTATGACTCCTTTTATATTAAATTTTCGCAGTCAAGTACATGGTTGCTTATAATGGTATCTTAGTATACATTGTTGTATTTTAAAGGTATACGATCTTAACTAAGTAGGATTCTTACACCTAGATGGCATTGCTTAACCATATAAACGTTAAATTTAAAAAATTCTATAAAGTAATTTAAATTTCTTTTACACCCAGGTGGCGTTGCATAAATAAGTAAATAGTCGTTAAATTATAAAACAAAGAAAAGTATTTTTAATTCGATTATTAAATATAAATAAAATAATAATAAAAAATAATTGCACGTTAAAAACGAGGCGACGACTTTTAACGTTACAAGTTTCTAAGCCATTGTCTAATCTGACGAAAAAGAAAGCAATTTGGAAATGGACAACAGAAGAGCAAACATCGTTTGATAAATTAAAAGAATTTCTAATCTCACCACCTATATTACAACAGGTGAAGGAAAATGAAAAATTCTATTTGAGAACCGATGCTAGCAAATATGCCTTAGGAGCTGTTTTGATGTAGGGGGAGAAACATGATGAAAAGCCAATAGAATATGCCAGTCGACTGTTGCTTCCTGCTGAAAGAAACTATTCTACCACAGAGAGAGAGGCGTTAGCAATTGTTTGGGCTATACAAAAGTTTAGAGGCTACATTGAAGGAGCCGAAATTATGGTATTAACCGACCACCAACCTCAACCTCAAATGGCTGTTTACGTTAAAATCTCCCACAGGAAGACTAGCACGTTGGTCATTATTGCTACAAAGCTATAATTTAAATTTTTCGTACACTCCTGGTAAGCAAAACATTATTGCGGATACCCTATCAAGACCGCCCTGCCCTAATGATAAATGCGTAGAAGCTGAAGAATTTCGTACTGCACAACTGGAAGATGAAGAAATAAGAAACATAATAGTCTCATTTGAAAATAATGATGAAAACGTTATTCGTTATACCAACCGAGAATATATAATGGTTGATGGTATATTGTATAGGTTTTGTTCAGAACAAAATTCGGAAAGCGGACAAATAGTATTACCAAAATCTCTTCGCGATGAAATCCTTGTTAAATACCACAACGATCCAATAGCAGGCCATTATGGTATCAACAAAACAATTAGTCGTATCACAAGATCATTTTACTGGTCAGGAATTCGGGCTGATATTGAGAAATATGTGAAATCGTGTGATGATTGTAAGAAATACAAACCAGTAAACCAGAAACCTATGGGCTTATTACAAACTGTTAGCAGTAATAAACGATTTGAAGTTATTGCAGTTGATTTGTTTGGACCCCTGCCAAGAACTAAAGATGGCTATCAATGGGTTTTAATAGTTGAAGACATATGTACTCGCCGGATTGAATTATTTGCTTTAAGAGAAGGTTGTGCTTTAACGCTATTAAATGAGGTAATCCTTAGATATGGTATACCACGCAGAATTCATACAGACAACGGAACTCAGTTTATATCATCATTGATGCAGAAGCTAATATTTTGTTTGGGTATACAACAGACGTTTACTCCAATATACCATCCAGAATCAAATCCTGTAGAAAGGAAAAATAGAGATTTGAAAAGTCAGTTGTCTATTTGCGTCAAAAAGGAGCACAACAGGTGGAATTTAATGTTACCATCCATAAGATTCACGATGAATAATGCAAAATGCGATAGCACTGGTTATACTGCTGCTTATCTCACATTTGGAAGAGAGTTAAGAACACCAACAGAAGTACAATATGATTTTAAAGCGATTGTTAACTCCAAAAACTCCATTCCACAAATTACTCCACATCTGCTACGTTTGGCAAATACTTTAGAGTTAGCAAATGAATGTCAAGAGCAAATGCAGGATAGAAACAAAATCATTGTAGACCGCACTCGTAAACCACAAGCAATTATAAACATTGGTGATAAAGTCTTAGTTACCACGCACATACTGAGCAAAGCTAGCCAAGGTTAAACCTCCAAATTTACTCCAAGAAGAGATGGTCCATATATTGTAATTGCTAAAAAAGGATCATCTTGCTTTACAATTGCTAGAGAGGAAGATGTTAATACTCCTGTCGCCACGCACCATGTATCAGCACTTGTTCCCTATGAAGGCAATTCAACGAAACCGATCTACCCAATTCGAAAAAGGGGTCATCCAAGAAATGATGAAGATCAAAGCTGTTCAAATGGTACCAGTAGTAATAACGTCAGCAACAACGTATTTATGCAATGCAACAACGAAGTTGAACAAATACATGTCAATCAAAGAAGATCAGCTCTTCTACAAAGTCAACAAGCCAATCCAGTCCAAAGAAGTTAAATCCTTAGGTCATCGGGACGATTTTATACAACAGGGGGGGAGATTGTAGCAGATATATTCATACATGTTATATTATGTTTCATTATTGTTAACTAAATCTTAAATTTTGGTTGCTTTATGTTTAAAACTACTATTTTGTCATTTATTTTAATAATTTTGAATTTAACGGACAATAATTTACACTTAATTTTTATAATCAATTATTTTTGTTTATTAAATACAACTCTGTGTGATAAAATAATGTTTACAGTTTGAAAGTCACATGTAATGTAAAATTATCATTCATTCTGTTTTATGTTATATTCGTTTTGTTTTAATGCTTGGTTAGATGTAAGACGAACATTTAAATAAAAATCACTCTGATTCTAGCTTTCGAGCGGTGAAGACCTCAAAGGAATAAATCGGCGTTTCATTAAAATATAAATTATTAAAACACAATTTTACCCTTGTGGACTTTAGGCCCTTGTGGAGATTGTGTGGTTGAGAACCAAAGCTGACCTTTTAGTCTCTTTAGGACCAACCTATAATTTAAATATAATAAATAAAACCTTAGCTCCCCGCTACATTCTCAATTTTAAATGAACTCTTTGTGTTTGCTGGATTGGACCAATATTGACACTTGAAAATAATATTAAAAAATTAAAACATTTGAAAAATTAATTTTTTCCTGAAAATGCTTTCAATAATTTTGTGGCAAAAACAAATCCAAAACCTGACTGGAGAATTTTTGCACAAATATTTCAAGACAAACAAAAGCCAAATGAATCAACCGATAGCTTTGTCTGCAGAAAAAGACGATTGTTTGCCCAACTTAGAGAAAGAATTTCAGAAAAAACAATAATAAATATGATATTCTCCCAAATAACAGTTCAAGTCAGAGAAAAGATCAACAGAGATAGTATTGAAACTTTCCAAGATTTATTGAACAAAGCTCGAGAAATAGAATTAACTCTTCTTCAAAATAGTGAACCTATACGCAAAAATATAGAGCCTAAAGAAAAAACCAACGCTCGATGTACATATTGTAGGAAGAGAAATCATTCCGCAGATGTTTGCTACAAACGAATTGAGCAGGAGAGAAAGGAAAAACAAGAAGAAGTCAAATTAAGTTGTTATGGTTGCGGTGCTACTGGGTACTACAGGTCCAATTGTCCCACATGCAACAATAAAACTGTTAGTAACATGGAAAGTCCAAAAGAACTAGATTTTAATAGTATCCACACCACAATAGTAGGCAGAAATGTCCCATCAGTAAATATAAATGTAAATGGTTTGAATGGGGAAGCCTATATGGACACAGCCGCAAGAACAAGTGTCGCAGGACACTATCTTTTTAAAAAATTGAAAGAAAAAGGACAAGTTTTCCAAAAAGTACTGGCGGAAATAACGTTAGCCGACGGCAGTATAACTAAAGATACGGTGTTATCAACAATAGCGAACATCACTATTGGAAAACGTTTTAAACGTATACGTCAAAACCGAAAAAGGCCATAGATGACTTTATGTCGTGGTTCGTTGAAATTAATAAAACGCCAAACAGAACATCTCCAATGAAAAATTAATTTTCCCCAAATGGAATAAACAAAATATTTTTAGACAGTTTGCCACAAAATTACGAAACCCCAAAAGTTTCTGATCTTTTTCCTCCTATGAAAAAAATTAAGCTAAACGAGGAATCGCCAAATTACTATTTCGAATTAAATTCAATAAATATAAATTTAAGAATTGATGAAGGGCCAAACTTATTAAGAAACCAAAAAGAAAATCTTGAAAACCTGTTAAATGAACAACAAGAAATTTTTGAAAATATTGTCAACCCAATAGAGGGCGTTGTTCACACAATCAACACAGGAGATCATGAGCCAATTGCCACTGCTCCGTACCGTCTATCGCCAGCGATGAAACTAAAACTTCGCAATGAGCTTGA